ATTTTAAAATGAAGCGAATGTTATAGCAACTAATTATATGTTTGACGTGGAACCATTTCGCTTTTTAATAACTTCTTTAACAATGAGGTGCGATAGAAAGTTTAGGATAAAAAACATAAGTTAAGCAGTAATAAATCCTCAGTGTAAACTGTTAGTCATCCATAATAAAATATAATCCAAACGGAAAACTGAAAAAAACAAGTATTTATGAAATTCGATCAAATCTTATAATATTTATTGACCTAGGCGCGCTGGCTGGAAAAGCTTGCTTGTGGGAAATTGGCGTCTGCTATGGCTGAAACCAAAATAATAAGTAAGACTTTTTAATCAAGCTTTACTTTCAAGCTAACACGAGTGACGGTATTAGGTTTTTTAAGTTCAATGCTACTGATGGATTGAAGTTTCTTCAAAAGTGGGTTTTACTGTCATTGCTACTTTTTTATTTTTTTGAAGAAAATTTGATTGTTTTATTTTCTATAGGGAGTATAAAAGCGCCGCTAAAGTCGTGTGCTACACTCCGGATGGATTGGTTTACGCGTTTAGCGATGGTGAAAAGTAAGCTGCTTGACATTTCTCCGAATAATCTAATTCAACTCAATTATCAATTTATTCGCTTTTATCCAGATTAATTATACGAAATGATGGAGATGACTCTGAAATAGTTTCTATTGAGCAGCCAAACATTTCAAGAATGGCAATTTCCCCGGATGCAAAGTATTTGTGTACATACACTCCATTTAGAAGTAAGTATCGGTGTTCATTGCGTCATATAAAAAAAACACTTGATTCATGGCTAATTTTATATATTTAAGAAACACCTGAGCACGCGGAAGGTCAGCCTAATCTAAATCTCTATGAGATTGCAACGGGGAAATTAATTGAATCCAGAGTTCACATACAGATGGAAACTTGGCGTCCTCAATGGTCCCTTGATAGCCAACTCTGCATTCGAGTTTTTCAGGGTGAAATACAGTTCTTTCCCGAAAATAAACTAGGTATGCTAACTAGCCTCTGTTTTCTGCAAACATGAATATATCTCGTAACTACATTTTCTCTTGTTTAGACGAGAAGCCAGCTAAACGATTGGCCTTAAAGGGCATGCGACATTGTTCCCTTTCAAAATCGCCCAAGAATCGTCATTTAGCTGTTTACACTCCATGTGTGAAGGTAATGCCTTGGTTAATATGTGGGATTTTTTTGTCCGATTAGAGCGAGCCAGCGACTGTGTATATTTATGCATGGAGAAATGGTGAATGCGTGGCAGTGGCGAATAAATCCTTCTTCCGAGCTGATACGGTCTCATTGCATTGGAGCGATATTGGCACTAGTCTGCTTGTCCTGGCTTCAACAAAGGTTGGTTTCAATTGTTTGTCCCACTGTGGTTTTCTTTGTGTGTGTGTGTGTGTATGGTGGAAGTTGTGTAATTTAGTCATAAGTGTTTTTACTGCTCATAATTCTTACGTTTTTATTTGGTGTTATCTGTGATTCCTTAGCTGCCACTTTTTTGGCATTTTTGGGAAAATAAAGTGTGTTTTTTAGTTGCATGAAATGTACTCCTTTACTCACATTGTTATTTTAAGTCAAATGAGTTTATGTAAGCTAGTTTGGAGTCTCCGATTTACAAACTTATATTTTAACCATTTTATACGTCTATTAACTTCCTCTATCTACCCTTAAACGCAGAACGAATTTGCTCCGTTTGTATTAATATATCAAACAATGCGTGCATGTTTCTTCACAATTAATGGCTTTTCTTTAGCCATATATAGTTTTTATAGATTTCAACAAAATTTAGCTGCTATTTTGTCATTTTACCATTTGTTTTTTTGTGAATTTCTGAACAAATGGGAGAAATTGAACTGACTATTTTATTTTTTCTAATTATTACTCTTATCTTTGCTAAATGGTATTGATTTTACTATTCAAATTACACGACGAAATACTCTCTGACCGATATATTGATTCAATTTTACAAATTTTGGGAATTCTTTGGATATAGTCACCATTGCATACTTTATACTATCGTATGATGAAAAAAATAAAAATTCAAATCGAATGTTTTTTAGTTTAATAGGAGCTTCTGTTTATGGAACTTTATTGTTTTGCATTAGAATGGAAATCTCCATGAAATGGACAAAGTGTTAAAATAGTGATTATTCGAATATGCAATAGTCGTGTTAGTTCCTTCTGGTTAGTGTGTCATTCTTTCATTTAGCCTGCGAAATATTTCACCAATTCAAATAATACTTTGTATGCTTCTATTTTTGCTCTAATCGATCATTTTTTCCTCGAGCCATTTTTCTAATGGGAGACTATGGGCCAAATAATCAAGTTTAAGTTTTGCAGGATATTAGGTCTGTTGTAGTGGAATATCTTCCCAGATACTGAATATTTATATTTTGTTTGGGGCATTGGCGGCATATAGTTGTAGCTAGCACTCAGAAATATCGACAATGCCTTCTATCTGAGCTGAGCTGTGGATACGTCAAAATCCTAAGCCCTATTTACTTAAAGTTAGGGCTTACGTTTTCTTTTGCACCTGTTTGCCCAACAAGTTTAAGAGATAAAGTTACTTTAGTGGTTTGCTCATTTTATTCACTTTTTTCTTATATTTTAATGCTAATAAAGGCAAGTGATCGCTCCACTAACCTGATTCTTGCATAAGGTTTAACTCGATGAGATTGGCTGTTATAGTTTCATCGATATATTTCCAATCTAACCTTTTCTGCGCCACATTTGTTAACTCCCCTTTACTTCCCTCCAACTATTATAGACGAGCGATACGAGCTACTATGGCGATCAAACACTTCACTTCCTGACCACAGCGAAAGGTGGTGACTCAGCCTCTGTTCCAATGCCGAAAGGAGGTTCAATTCATCAAGTCCTTTGGCGCCCTTCTATTGGACCAACTGCTCGACCTTCGGAGGAACAATTCGTTGTCTGCCATGGATGTAAGTTTTCGTTAAAAATTCGTCACGAAAATTTAATAAGCTCAATTCAATGAAAACTTTGCAACTAGCAACCCTCTGTGTAATAATGAATGCATAGATTCATAATTTGCATTCAATAGAAATCGTGAAAATGTAATGACTTTCTTGTGTTCATCAACATTGAAGGCGGTTTTCTGCCTCAAAGAATTTAAGTTGCACTCAATAGGAAGGATTTTTTGCTACATCAGACTCAGGTGCGATTAAAGGAAAGCTCTCACCAATCACTTTCGCGCATTGAAGAATTTGTTAGCTTAGTCTTAGAGTGATTGAAATTCGTTATTTACTAGGCTAGCCATAGTTGAAACCGGCCAAGCCAATCTGCTATCTTGTTTAATGGGTCATTTACCACGTCCCTTATAACTCCCAGTTTTTTTTGAAAATCTCTTGTTTATGCCATTTGAAATACTATTAAATAATGGAGAGCAAATATGTATTGCAGTCCTGCAGCCTTTATGCCTAACAAGCGCGTATTTTGAAGCATCCTTTCGTCAGCTATTGATTAGCGAAGCAGTCATTTCGGAACAATTTCGAGAAAGCCGATATCTCTGCCACCTGCTGTTTTTATGCAAAGTGAATTATCAACCCCCCCCCCCCCCCCGCCCGGTCTTCAATCCAACTGTACTGCCTCTACAAACATAACGCTTTATAAAATGGAACCCCTAGAATAGCACGACAGTCGGACTCCGCATGCTTTTATTTCATAACAAGTTATTTCCCACATCTTTTCGTCTAGGAGAGAATACTAGTTGCAGAATAATTGGTAGATGTTTTCTTCTGACGAAGGTGACATGAACCATTGTGAAATTCGCTATCAGTTCTCATTCCCTCATTCCAAGATACCTTCTGCTTGAAACTTTAAGCGACGAGTTTTCCGTTGTTTAGGATTCTTACGACGTGAACTATCTTTTCTTTAGCTGCGCCGGCTTCCATTCTAGTCTTCAACATTAAATGTGAGAAGCTCTATTCCTTGGGCACGGGCGCATGGAATAAGCTCTACTTCAATCCTCAAGGAACCCTTCTTTTAGCTGGTGGTTTCGGTAATCTGGACGGCAACGTCGCTGTATGGAATTATGATAAAAGGCAACGTCTTGCCGAATTCTCTGCTCGTAACACTTCAACCTTGTCATGGCTATCTGATGGAGAACATTTTGTTACTGCCATCACCACGCCAAATTTGAGAGTTGATAATGGGTAGGTGCATATTCCTTAAGGATTTACGACTTTTTAATAATAGTATCGCTAACTAATCCCACATTTCAGAAGCATATCGAGCTGATAAGGTAGTTCGTTTTCTAGAATAAGCGCACGTATGCGTGAGTGGTATTGATTTGTAATAACGATGATCGAGTGCTATCACCTAATAAGAAATGTCTTTGTCATTCTTCTTTCTACAAGTATCCACATTAAACTGTTAAGGCATTATTTTGTCTATGTAGATGGACAGTTTGGCATTACACAGGGCGTCCAGTGTCTCATGAGAATGTCGAGAAACGGGACCACCCTCGGCTTGCTACCGAAGACCTACCCGCCGCCACTGAGCACGAGCTTTACCAGGTCATCCCACGACCTGTTTCTGTCGATAAATTGCCTCCTCCACCAAAGGTCTATGCCATTCAGGGAGCTACTGGGGCGGGATCTTCTAAGGTATTTATTAAATTGCAGTGATATTGAACAGGTGTATGTTGTTAAAGTACTTCCAATTGCAGAGATATTTCCAAAATGTCTTTCTTCCCTTAGTTGCCCTCTGTTAAGATGGAGAAGCCCAAAGCCTATATTCCACCAGCGTTGAGAAATATGTCCTCTACCCCGATGCAGTCAGGGAACGTGCAACACGCCGGGGTATTAAATAGAGGCCGACTTCCTCCCGTGCAAGTTGTGATTAAAGATCCGAGTGCTGCAAAGGCTGCTGCTGCTGCTATGCGTGGTGGCGGACCTAATGGTGGACCTGCAAATAAAGGTGACTAGTCTACTGGTTATTTATAAGTAGGGATGGTAATTCAAGCTTAGCATATGCAGTTATGCTGTTAGTCTTTTATATCTGAACCATTTATGGCCACTTTGGCACCTTCTTATCTTTCACTTTAATTCACATTTTGTTCATACTTACTCGTTCATGCATCCGGGTTTATTTATATTTTGCTGGCAGCGTTATGATCGTGAACTGCGGTTACCAAAGATTTTCTTACAATCGACTTGACCCTTTTAGGTGGAAAGAAGAATAAGAAGAGAGTTGATGGTGACAATCAGCCTCCTCTTCCATCTAGTGGTCCGGCGCTTCCAAATCCCAATCAGAAGCAGATTAATTTCCTAAAGAAGGTAGCATCTCTTTCCTGTTTTATAATACGATACATTTTTTTATGATAGTAACCTGTGTTGTCTGTCCTCCAAATTCACGTTGATTTAGTTTCTTGGAATTTAAAGAAGCTATCTGTTTGCAAATATTATGGAGCACAAGTTCAGCGGATTTCGAAATAATTGGTTTCTATTATTTCATTCATATGTTGTTTTAAAAGTTACGCTTAAATTTTTTTGCATTTCCAGATAATGCTTACATTAAGTTGCACTGGAGTAACATAAATCAGAAATCTCTAAAAATTACGTTCTAGTAGGCTGAATTTGGATTGGGGACAGAAGCAAATGTTCAGAGTTCGCGAAACTGTATGTACTTGAAACTACGTGTTCTTGTTTGTTGACTATAGGCGTTCCCACTTCCTATTTTGGAGTAGAATCTAGAGTAGCAATAATTCTCACACTTAAGCTATTTTATGAGCTCGACCGAGTTGACCTTCGGGTTATCTGCCGACCAAATTGATGATAGTCCACAAATCTTGCGAGATATAGAAAAATCCTCGGAAGGAGACGGAAGTTGGAGATAAACGAGCAAGGTGTAAACGTCAGCGCAGTTTGAGTGGAAGCCGTAGTCAGTAAGTGCTATCACGAACACACAAATTAACTGGCTCATAGCGCAAATTTCGTTAATTCTTCCTAATTGACCTTTCAGCGAGCCAATCACTTCTTAAATATCCCAATGTGTAGTTTTGTACTAGACACCTTCCTGACGAATCATGTTTCACATTAGCAGTGTGGCAGCATCTATACAAAATGTTTGATATCCTGTTTGGAGACTTGTTTGTTTGGGTTTAAGGCTTATTCATACTTTGGCTCCCACCACACTTTCATCTTTATTCTGTTTAGAGTAGCGAGTTTTGAAATTATTGTATCTGGTTATTTCAAAATCTCTAATTCCTTTGCTCATCTTTTGCAGAAACTATCGGAGATCGAAAAGCTCAAGACTCTTCAAAAGACTCAAAAATTGGAGAAGTCACAATTGGAGAAGATGGCAAAAGAGGAGGGTTTCCGAAAAGAATTAGCTGAATTGGAGAAATTGTAAATAATTAGCATTTGTGATAAATAAATAAGTTTGGTTGAATATTGCGTCTTCTTCCCTTCTCCCTGTTTTGTTATTAGCGTGAAAAATGTGTTGTTTCGCGTTTTTTTTAATGAGGCTTACTTTTTGTGCAAAGGTGAGATATGCCTACTCTCCCGGTTCAAATGAAACGATACAGGTGTAAGTTGGTGGGTTATGCGTTAACTATGTTCTTGCCCCAATAGTTACTCTGCCAAAATCCGTAAATACACCCGCACCGCTGACCGAACGAGGCATTCAAGGTTTTGTCACCTATGTGACCTCATGGCTAGTATTTCGTGAGCCAACCTGCCTAAATTCTAATCTAAATTATTTATTCTACGCTTTCATATAATTAGGCTTTGTTTCCATTCTTTAGTTCTTTACTTAATATGGGCATACATTCCGCACGAATATTTACACGCTATTGGAATAACCTATCTCCCTTCAAGGTGTGGTGATTACTACTTAACTTGCCAATATTGTCGAGGCAGTAATTGAATTATTTACTTACAGATGGTGGGCGATAATTATACCATGGGGACTTTTGGTTGTTCTCTTTGGTGGCATTGGAATATACCTGTGGATGAATCGACGACTTGTTCATCCATTGTCATCTATTAATCTCATCTGCGGTAAGCTATTTTCAAGCAACATGTTACATGTTAAAGCTTAAGCAGGTAGTTGATATCTTCTAAATAGTCGATAATAGTCACAGCCTGTAAAGTCGATAGTCATCGTCGTTAGTACAGGACTTCTATTTACATGAAATATTAAATGTGCTTATTTTCATCGGAAATTGCCAAGAAGAATTCGGTAATGGATCCCACTACTTGTGAAAGTTCCACCTGGGGTCCTGAGGTTTTTTTGGCTGCTCTTGCCTTCCTTCCTCTCGAACAAGTGCCATGTTGATAATTTTACATGTCCGCTAACATTTTCATATCAGACAATATTTATAGGGAGTACTTTATTTAAAAATTCCATGCAGTTATTCACCTGTTCAGTTTATGTGTGCTTTCCAGCGCCTTTGTTTAATTAATTGACTTAGTATGGCTTCTTTTGTATTCTGAAGACGCAACAAATCCGGAGTTGGATACTCTCCTGAGAAATGACCTCAGCGAAGCGGACAGAGAATACTTTGAGTCGCAACAGGAGAAGTACGCGTTCATTCCAGATGGCAGCGTTATGCCACCCACCCTCGATCTCAGCCTCGATTGGGTTAATAAGCAACTCTATCTTCAGAGGCCTTTGAGTGCTGTGGACTCCTGACTTTTATTCACTTCACTCTTCATATCCTGTATAGTCGTTACTAAGATGAAATGTGTCTGATTGTAAGAAATGCAATCTAAGTAGGGACATATTATTGGTCTGAGTCAGTGTGAGCATCAACATGGGGGGGGGGCAGAATTGATCAACGCGACATTTTAATATGAAATGTACTTACTCACAGCCTCATGTCGCACTGGACTGAATGAACTTTTATGCCTCGGCTGCTACTTCTTTTCAGTTTAGCACTCTAATGCTTCTTGGTCCAGCTTTTACTCGTTATATTCCTCATTATCTAAAGATCCTAGTGAACACTTATTTAAACAGCGTTTTAAAATTTAGCTCAGTTACCCCCACCCCCAATTATGAATCATATAAGCTGATGGATGCTCTATAAGGGCAAATATTGGCTATCATTATTGATGGGACATAAGCTTGTGATTTGTAGGCAATTATTTATACCTGGTAATTTATAAAACCCCTCGTCCTCCGTGAATAAATGACAAAATATTTAAATCCCTCCTCTTCTCTGATCGCGTTAAAAATCAATCCCATCACAGACATGGTAATCTCAGTTCTGAATGGGCTGTTTTTATCAATACGACCCCTGAAAATAGGCAAAAAGACTAAATTCTAATAAGATACGCCAATATTTTTTTCAAATTACAGGCTTTATGATATTTATCATTAGCCCTTAAGCTTTGACTTCAGCTTCCCCCATGGGTAATGATATTTATCATTAGCCCTTAAGCTTTGACTTCAGCTTCCCCCATGGGTGGGGGTACACATATGGCAGTTAATTAATAGCAGTTCATTAGTTGTCTTCTTGCTACCCATTTTCTCTGGGTTTCTGTCGTTGTCTTTAGGGCTGGTCACAGAATCAGGTGGGTCTTCTCCTTTTCCTCCTGTTGGTTACATAGGGGGCATGTGGGTTGAGTGTATACTCCCAATCTGTGAAGGTGTTTTGCCAGGCAATCGTGTCCGATGCGTAGTCTAAACTCAGCGACGTCTTCGATTCTCCTTTGTTCGAGCTTTAAGTTCGTTGCACCTTGACTGTATACTCCCAATCTTTGAAGGTGTTTTGCCAGGCAATCCGTCGGTACGTAGTCTAAACTCAGCAATGGCTTCGATTCTTGGCTAGTCGGGTATGTCGGAGAGTGCCACTGTCCACTGTTTCTCTAGTACGTAGTCTAAACTCAGCAACGGCTTCGATTCTTGGCCAAGTAGTCTAAACTCAGCAACGGCTTCGATTCTTGGTAACCGTGTCACGGTACGTAGTCTAAACTCAGCAACGGCTTCGATTCTTGGCCAAAGTCTAAGACTCAGCAACGGCTTCGATTCTTGGCCAGTCGGGTATGTTGAGAGTGCCACTGTCCACTGTTTCTCCTTTGTTCGAGCTTCTAGCAACGGCTTCGATTCCTGGCCAGTCGGTTATATCGGAGAGTGCCAACTGTGTTTCTCCTTTGTTCGAGCTTTAATTTCGTTGCCACTGTTTCTCCTTTGTTCGAGCTTTGAGTTCGTTGAACCTGTCCACGTCCACGTCTCCTTTGTTCGAGCTTTAAGTTCGTTGCACCTTGACTGTATACTCCCAATCTTTGAAGGTGTTTTGCCAGGCAATCCGTCGGTACGTAGTCTAAACTCAGCAATGGCTTCGATTCTTGGCTAGTCGGGTCGAAGAGTGCCACTGTCCACTGTTTCTCCTTTCTTCGAGGTAAGACTCAGCAACGGCTTCGATTCTTGGCCAGTCGGCAACGGCTTCGATTCCTGGCCAGTCGGTTATATCGGAGAGTGCCAACTGGTCATATCTCCTGTGTTCGAGCTTTAATTTCGTTGCACCTTGAGGTATGTTTTCTCCTTTGTTCGAGGTTTAAGTTCGTTCCACCTTGAGGTCTTGAATTCTCTCCTGATTAAGGCCTTCATTGTATGGAAAGACATCGACCGGTCTGTTTATTATGACACGCCAATATTAATTCGACCATCACCACCGTTGCACCTTCAAGGCGGTTTGAGTGCGCATGAGATTTCTTTGCGCTCTCCTGGTGCCTCTGTTTTCTCCATATATCAGAAGGGTGACTGAATGTGCTTAGTTGCACTTTATATCCTTTTGCAATCATGAGGAAGCAAATATTGTAAGTTCAAACTAACTAAAATCAGCTATTATTTCTGGAAATTGGAGCAATGCTACCATCCAATGCTTAAACCCACCAATTAAAGTGCATGCTTTCTTCTGCAAACGGGCGCAACTTTAATCGAGATTCGGGGGTCAAAGTTTAAAAAATACTTATGACCGAAAATCACCGGTTTTGAAAATCCTCATCAACTGTGATTAAAATCAGTTGGTAGTAACCCTAAACTCTAACAAAGTGCCCTCAGGAAAAGTATAATAGCCAGAAATCTGCTCTTCATAGTTTAAGTCCTTGCATTAACTGTTAGGCTCTTCTCCAAAAAAAACTACATTGAAAGCTTAGCGACCTTTACTGTCTAGCACTTGAAAAATCGTACGTTTGGGTGAACTATACGAATTAAATAACGACAAGCATTTGCCCAGGAAATCTTCGTTTCCATAAGATAATTGGAAACGACAGCTTTTTGTTAGTAATTAAATTATAGAATAATGAAAAATTGCATTCATGTGAATGTGGTTGGTTTTTAACATAAAATAATGCAATGACACGCAGCTAAATGTTTGGAGATTATTCTGGTTTAAAGGTTGTAATATTTATTTATTTCAAATGGCAGGCGTTTTGATAGATATCAGCCCTTTAGCTGACTTCGGGCTTCACAGAGGGAAGGTTCATCAAAGTAGCAGAAAGTCGAGGGGTCGGGAACAGAAGAGCGATTCACAGATGTAAAGAGGCAGACAGACACAAAGGTAGAGAAAAAGGTAAGGTGAGTACTGTAAAGGGGTCGAATATGGCAACCAGGGGGTCGTGGTAGTTTGAAGTCAGAAGTCAAATGCCGGTTAATAGACTTTTTGCCGTATGAGTATACGTTGCCCAGGGTGCACCACGTGAGGGTAAGTCTATC